TGAATGACTACTCTTATTACTAAACTATGTGAATGTTCATTGACATTTGTGTCTATTTATTTTAAATACACAATACGAATATTTCTGATGAATACGATTCACTTACTTTTGTCCTCTTCAAGTTGTTGTGTGACCTTTTGTTTCAAGTAACTTGTCATTCTTAATCACAACTGAAAACAAACATCAGATTTTTCCATCTCGAGCAGAATTAACTAATTGAACATTAGTTTGAAGAGAGAAAGAACGAGCATGTTTGCAGGATAATACGAGCTCGTTTTATTTCGTGGATACTCATCAACTGCATACATCCTAAACAAAATCAAATTATAAGTTTCAAAAAAGTTTTGGAACATACTTTTTTCATAATTACTTGGAGTTATAGATAGAAGGTATAAGGAACATAATTCCAGAATTTGATGTAGGTAGACAGATTATTCAGTGTCAAAAAACAACTAACTATATATAGTGAAATTAGATAAGAGGGGTTAGAGTTCAGGTTTCTATTGGAGAAGACAGATTGCTTAGAGGCATAATACAGGGTCAGGGTCACAGAACAGAGTGAATTTACACATCTTGTGGTGAAGAGTTTAAGAGGGTGGGGGTGAATAGTGAAGTAACATTTTTAAACTTAAACAGACAATTAAGTGGATTTAGAAACTTGATAGTCAGTTCAAATTAGCAAATGAAAGTCAAAATTGAATAGAATGTTTCGTAACAAGACAAACATACAGGCATACTGACAAAAAAGGCAAAACAAAAATAAAATAAAATAGAATTAGGGATACCAGGGTAGTGAAAGATTAGTCACACTATCTTTCTGTATACAGAGGTCTGGTCGAAGTCTCTTGATAGCAATGGCTTCTGAGATGTCTAGTGTTTTTTGTCAAAGAATTTCTGTTTACTTTGTTGATACAAATGAACTAGAAGTTTGCTTTAAAGTGTCAGATTTTCAGACAAGCGAACTTCTTCATCATATGGTGAACTTCAATAAATTCTGACAGATAATATCTGCGTCAGTTTTTTGAAACAAGAGTTAAGGAGGGAACACTTTAACAAACTGATTCATGCTGCTGATCAAAAGACATGAGATTTCATCCCTCAAATTTTAAAATGTAACTTGATGAGCAGATTTACACTAATCTACATGACCGTTTTGTTGATGGTATTCATATTCCTAAGCTAGAAAGTTAATTTTGAATATTCCGTAAAGGCAAACATTTCTTGAGTTCTATGAGTGAAAAGACTGAGATCTTTTAGCAAACACTCATTAATTGGTTGATTCAGTAGTGTTATCTCGATGATGATCCTCCTGTCAGTGTCAGTGATATTTAGGATAAAAGTAACCAACGGATGAGATCAAACATAATATAAGTCATATAATGAACTATGTGCGATAGATTATACACTACTGAACCGTATGTATACCATTTAAAACCCAGGTAGATAGTTAGCAGCTTCATTCCTACACGTACATTAATTTCTATTGCAATGTAGTCATTCTTGAGTATTTGTGCCTAAATCTAATGTCTTCTACCTTACGAGTCATTGCAAAGGAAATTCATCTGTAAATGAGCGACTAGTATGTATTGACTTGATAACATATGGTAGTGTATAGGGCTAAATTGTAAGTATATCGTAGCGGAGTGTCACGTTAACTTTATTTAGAGGTGAAAAATTTAAATGAAACATCTCTTCACTGAGATTTGACTTTCCACAGATTTCGGTTCCTGTTAAAGCCAACTTGAAAATTAATCAATCCAATGTGTAAATATTCGCAATGAATAATAATAATATGTTGTCATTGTTATTATTCCCATGGACTGGGATTGAAAAATAGGGCTTCAACAGGACATATCCACTTCGCCCTGTTGTTCTCTGAAGTCTTCTTTAGTTGGCTCCACAAATGCTCATAAACCCTCATCTCCTGCGCATACGATCTCGTGCATTTCACTCCCCGACACTCAACTCTTCGTCTCCCAGTCGGACTCCATTCGAGGGCATGCTGTGTGACATCACTCAACGGTCCTCGGCATATTTCTTGGTTGATAGGTTCTGGGTTGTTTCTTTGCCAAGATGGTACAGTTAGTCATTCTTTATTTTCTTACAATAACTATCTGACTTGATTTCAACTGAGTCAATTTGTACTTCCTATCAGTTAAAACACTGTTCTCTTTTTTCACAACTATATCTTGGAATAAAATTGAGGATTTATACCTTAGGATAAAGATAAAAATTATTTCATAAACTCTCGTGCAAATGTCAACTACAGATTCACTGACATATACATGCAGTGATTTATTTCTAGAATAACAGACTAACTAATGCTCAAACATTAGTTCTCAATTTTTATCCTAGACAAAAAGGCTCAGTCTCTGTTGACATGTTGGCTTCCATTGCAGACGCATCGACGATGTCCGTAGACTAACGTGAAGTTATTTTGGTTGGTGGTGATTAGCAGTGGAATCCAAGATACCTATTTCATCTTGTCGAATGGAAATGCGAAATTAACCTGAAAACGAATAATAACTGATGGCCTTTGCACAATAGGCTGTCCATGTAGCCTTTATGACCCAGGCGATGATGTTTTGGAGTTCAAAACAATAGGCTCGACTCTCAGTTGGAACTCCATATCAATTTGTTTATTAGATATATCACATAGTGAAATAGTATTATTTAGGGATGACATAGTTTAGAACACAGTTATTTTCTTTAGTCATGGTTACAAATAATTTCGAAACATTCGTTTTATGGTTTTCTTGATTCCTTTCTATTCGTTGAAAGGGTTGGTAGAGTGTTCTAGATGTCTGGGTGGACAGGCGTTGAGTCATTCTTATACAGTATTTTCAGTTGATTTGACCTCCACCCTGTTATTTTGGATTTTAGAACCATCATCTTGACCCAAACTATTGTATGGTTGCGTGTAGTTGCACGTAGTGCTATAGCTGAGCTATTTTCTAGACTTCTTATCTTATTAGGGTCGACTAATCTAAATTTTACAAGGATTTTTTGCTCTTAGAAGGAACACCATCTTTCACTGGGAATGTAGGTGCATAAAACTGAGTGGTCCCAAATAGGATGCAATACGCATTATGAATTCCACTGATAGTTAGTAATAACCAAAGTAGATTTTTAAATGTTTATCTTATATGGATTTGATTGATTTTGAGTTTGATTTGATCATGAATTGATATCATTTAGAGAAACATTGAAAATCTCCAGGAAATACTGGACAGCTCTTTCGTAGTAATTTTAAACTCTTTAAAATTACGTGCCACACCAGAGGTCAATCGTAAAATCTTTAGATTACAGGGTGGACATGTTAATATTCAGTATTTGGAGCTGAATCCAATGGTACATGGATTTTAGCTTCTGCCAGTCAGCGTTGTCGGTGAGTATCTATCCTCTTTCAGTACACTCTGGTTTTCATTAATTCTCTAGTCGATGTCGTTCCACACTAAAGGAATGATAATATCGTAAATACAATAAACATGAAACATGAACTTTATATTTTTGATTCCAGAACAAGGCAGTACATAACTGAACTCAGAAAATTGAAATACTCATTGGAATCATGAATTCTTACAATTAGGAAGTATAGGTGTTAAAAGTATGTTGAATACCAGCCATTTAAATAACAGCAGATTTATTTCTTAATTTATTTAAGCAAGTGATGATCTTAAACAGAGTAAATCCTACAGTGACTGGTAACCAGGGTTTAAGAAATGTCAATTGTTCACCTCTTGTTGGTGTGGGTGCCAGCGGAATCCTATCAGTCAAGTTTTCACAGCGGCTACCAAGCTAAGATGACTCATCACCGCTGTGTCTTCTTTGAACTGATGTTAAATGAGTGGAGGCAGTTGGCATGAAGCTCGAGACTGAAGTTTCGTGCTTGTGGGAAGGCGTACTTACAACTTTGGAGAAACTGACATCACGTCTGAAATTCGACACAGCTTCAACCAGTCCTGCAGCCTAAGTTTTTATTAATTAATTATTCGGACTATTTACTGATCGCATGTGGAATTGCGATGGCTGGACTGATTAGTCACTGACAACAACGTTAACAACAGTAATAATAGCTTTATTCTGAAAAGTGCATTCGGACACAGTATAGAATTCTCAGTGAGTTTCACAGAGAGGTATTTACTCCTTGTAAATACTCTTCAAATAATACAATAGCCGATGATATGTCATCTGAAGCAATATCGTTCCATCCGAAGCATGTTACAATACTACTTCACAATGTTGTTTTTCCATTTTCTTCGAAAAATTCCAAACGATAGGTAGAAACCTATTTAAAATTGTTCGCGGGTATGGACTAAGACTTGTAGTAATTAGATGATTAAAACAATATATGAAAAGGAGTAAATACAATGCATTTTGATTGGTAGAAAATTTAGGTAGCTCAGTGATTTAAGCAAGCCGCCTATTTGATACGTGTAGGGAGTAAACAATGCTGTATACTTTTGCCTTCTTAGTGTTGGTACTGATTGAAATGTCTTAACACAGCTTTATTGAAGACTAAATAATGTTATTGAATTATATTTTTTATATTATTTTATTTTTATGTTTTATTTTCTATTACAGCTTGATGCCACACCGTATTTTCAGTACAAGTATGGAATTTTCAGTATGGATATCAGTAGCCCAAATTTAGGAGCCCGACCATAGTTATCGGGTGTTCGTCAGCAGGGGATCGAACCCCGGACCATGTGCATGGTCGGCGAGAGTCCTAACCACTGTGCCACCGACGCACAGGCAATTCGATTAAGCATCGACAGTTCAGTGATAGAATGGTCGGCAACAACTAAACGTGATTTTAGTTCGATCCCTGACCGACTCACTTCCAGACCTCCTGTAACCGGCAGTAAAGTCAATAAGGAGGAGAGGTTGAGTGTGAGGCTAGATAACCCATCCAGTGACGGCACAACATCATCGCTACTGAAAACTGAAGCCTTAGTTTATACTCAGAATGCTAAACACTGGAGAAACAAGATTACATTAAGCATCAGTATTTTATTTTAAATGGAAAACAATTTCATTAGAGAGATAAATTGTTTTGAATATTGGATAATTCAACTTTGAGGGTTAGAAGTTTTGCAAAGAGAAGTAATAAGATATATCGATCCAAGAGTTTGATGATAATAACAACAGAAAACAAACAAGACGTGAAAAGAACACATGCTCTTCAAAACTTAATTCACTGTTAATATTTATGATTTTAGAATATTATTTTAAATTAAGCAAAGAAGGGTATTGAATTGGCATTTTTTGGTGAAGCAGGATTCATCGGAAAAAATAATATCTGTCTGCTGATTGGACTTTTCGCTTGTTTGGTTTTGATGTGTAACCGTGTGAAGGGGAGAAAAAGAGTTGAATGGGGAAAAAAGAAAGAGGATTATCGGTAATGCTAATTTAAAGGTATATTCAATCATATTATGTTATTATTATTATAAGAGGCATAATGTTATTCTCAGGTTTCACTTACCAAACCATTTTACCGACCAGATTATGATAGGAATCTTTTTTAATGAATTCATGAAAAAATACTACCAAATGTGAACGCTACTATTAATTGCTCCAGTTGTCACGTAACCAGTGATGAAATTTCGGCAGAGCGTAATCTCTGCTGGACTGTGAATGATGATGATGATAGAAATAGGCGTGTCATTTATTTGACATACAGTAAATGATACCACATCATACTACGCCTTAACAAATATGCATACTGAATACGAAATGAAACTTTATTAAAGTGTATTAAAAGACTGATTATAGGGCAAAGAATAATCTTGTATCTATCAATTCACCTGCTCCTGTGGAACCAGTTATATTGATCATTGCTTTAGTAACTTAGTTTTTCATGCTCAGGAACACCTATCTACTAGTCTGGCCAAATAAACATGTAGAGAAAACGTCAGTGTTAGACAACTTTGTCCGAACAGACCATAAAGCTGGCTGTGAAGAATCTTTTTCTATTATCTCTCCGATACTATATAAATTACCGAAAGCCTCCAGGTACCAAATGCACAAAATAGCAAAGGCCATTGCAGATCACTTAAAACAACTGAAGCTCTGTGTAGAAAAGAAACAGGTCTAGCCACTATTACCGCTCTGTCCTGCTATCGAACTTATAAATTCATAAATTCTGTACTTTATTTCTTAATTTATTATTTACAGATGCTTCTGAACTGTAATCTACTAATCCTGCTGGTTCAGCGCTATTTAAAAAACATTATTATTGTTAATAATAATAATCAGCCAATTATGGCTGATAAGCCTACCCGTGGAAGTGAAATAATTAACACAAACAACCAGTCAACTCCCTATGCTTAGACTCAGAGTTGCTACAGACCAGTCCTGCAGCATCGTTTTACATTAAACAGGAATGGAACTCATGCCAGATATTCTGAGGTGTTCATGAGACTCTGCATTTTGTCAGCATCTTCCTCTAGGAGGTATTTATCATCTGCATACCCCAAGTCAATAAGACTGTTCTTTCATATGTCTTCTAAAATTTTTAATGAACATCTCTAACCAATTAAAGTACATCAGATTCTCTTTAAGATTTCTCAGTTGTGTGCAAGACACAGTGAGAAAAACTTGTACGTAGTGTCGATATGTAATAATGCAGCAATCCTCCAAGAAACAATTTCTTACCCATATTTTTCTACAGGTGCATGTTTATTAAATGCTAAAATTATATGCTTTCTAAATGAAATATTTATAGGCCTATATAAAATACTACCTTTGAATTCTGTTTTCTTATTAATTGCATGTTATGTCTCATGATAATTTCATTTCCTTTCTGTTTTAAACCATTTTTATGACAAACTTCACACATTCTACAATTATGTTTTCTAAATATTAAATTTTCTATAGTTGGATTGTAAGGATTAGTTTTGTTTTACGAGTTGATCACGGATTGATATCATGGAAAACCAGGGAGTACTGAACAGCTGTTTCATCCTAGTTTGGGAATCATCGCCAGTACGCACCCACTGCCAGGGTTCGAACCCAGGACCTTCCAGTTACAAGGCAAGCTCGTATACCATTCAGCCACTGGGACCGGATTCAATGGACCATGAATTCTAACTTCTATTAAATGCCAGTTTTATTTCAACTATCCGAGTATTTCATTTATCATTATTATTCCCTTTGGTCGAGAGTGGAACATAGAATCTCAGCGGCAAATCTCCATTTCACCCTTTTTTCTGCAGTTTCTAGTTAACTGTACGATTGCACATAAGCTTTCATTTTCATCTCACACGGTCTCTTCCGTGTCACGATCTCACACACGCCCGACTCGTTTCCCATTCAGGCTCTACTCGAAGCATGACCTGACGTGTGGTGTCACTTAATAGTATCATCAGCGCGTGACCAATTTACATCAATTTCCTTTCGGCATATTTGTTGAATGACAGGTTCTTGGTTAGTTCGTTATTTCAACTGTCATATTATATCATAAATCTATAGATCTTAACAGAAACTCAACTGCTCCACCAAGAACTTATTACATCATGAAAGATTTAGTCACTAACTGAAACCGTTAAAACTCAAGGAAAAACAAAATAACTATTATTTCTTAGTTTAGAATTCTATACAGTCGTAAGTATTCATAAAACCACCAGGGATGCTTTACTGTTATTGATAACAATATGACGCATTATTTATTAGTTTTGATTATAAGCTACTTGGTTAAACGTTTTTCCCACCCGATAGTACTCTTTATATGTTGTTAATTAACTAAATTATTACACTATGACGAATAGAATTAATAAGAACAAAAATTGAAAATAATTTCGTGACTAAAGCTATAAAAGTAATTACACATAAGACTAGTTTTTTTTACAAAGAAGGAGGTCAGTTTAACTTCTAGTTATGTCATATTTGAAACCACAACTAATTCGTTTCAATTCATATGGCCTACTAATGAGATGGTATATGTATTTTGTTATGTGTACGTCTGAACAAGTAATTTTAATCAGCAATAAGTCACTCTAGATAGAAATTAATTACTGGTTTCAGGGGAGAGTAAGGGACAAGATCCAGTTGCTACATACAAACGTCGAGTCGTTCAGTGCTTCATGAAAAGCATTTACCAGCAGCCACCCCCTTCGTTACATACTGAAGACCATACAGTCAGCCAGAAAGGATAAGCGACAAGGAATTCTGGCGACGAACCAACCGAGAACCTATAGTCCAGAAAATATGCAGATGGAAAAGGAAATGGATTGGATATACGCTGAGGAAACCACTGAATGACAGTATCACGCACCAAACCATGCGGCGAGTGAAACCCGATTGAACAATGACTAGCTGGACATCTGAGTGTGAAGCAGAAGAGATCGTGTTTCAGAAAATAACGCATCCTTATGAGCAATCATAGGGCCGACCAGGGAAAACTCCAGAGGACAAGTTGAAACGTAAGCACACTGTTGAAGTCCTACGTTCCACTGGGAACCCAAACGAATAATAATAACAAAAGGGAGCATATGTAAGAGGAAAGGAATTGTCAGCAAACTTAAGATTAAATTTTTATTAACAAATCGATCAATCAACAAACATGTTTTGACATGCACAGGTATCTTTCAATATTTTTCAAATTCCACCTTTGTCAGCTGACCATACATTAGACACCAATATCACCAGTGTGAAGTTATTTTATCTCTCTGGTAATTCAATAAGGAATCTGTAAAATCTAACAAGACTGTCACACAGAGACGCGTGAAAACATGAAGTACAAGCACAAATGATTCGAGTAGTATGGTATGAACAACATACATTTAAAGTGTTTGATGAATAATTTGGTTTAGTTTATCATTAAACCCTTTTTATGATCAGTCACACATTCTTGAAAACTTTTCGTCACAGATGTAGGAAAATGTAAAAATAAAATTTATAATCATAGTAGTGATAGTGGCAATAATAATATTAATGACGATATGCATGTCAAGCATGCAGAATAATGACAACACCAACAATAGGGAATTTAAATCATCAGTAGTACTTCCGTACAAAGAAAAAACCTCATAAAACGAACGGCGAATTCTTAACAAGGCAGGAATAAAAGTGGCATTCAAACCCACAAACTCAATTAGAAATAACCTTTGTCGGTTGAAGGATACCGTAGAGCCAATTAGACAAAACAATTTAGTTTATCTAATACCCTGCAATGATTTTCAGGTCAAATACATAGATCAAAATAGTAGAAAGGGGTCAGGCAGACTAGTAGTAGAAAACCTAATAAACTCCAGATTAGTTAACCGTAATAAGATCAGAAGTCTAGAAAATAGCTCAGCTATGGCACTACATGCAAATACACACAACTATACAATAGTCTGCGTTAAGATGACAGTTCTAAAATCCAATATAACAGGGTGCAGGTCGAGTCAACTGAAAAATACGCGCAATAGAAGCGATTCAACGCCTGTCTCGGATATCTGGAAAATTCTGCTGCCCCCAAGACGAACAGAGGGGAATAAAGGAAACTATAGAATGAATGTTTCGAAGTTGTGTAGTTACGATTGATATAATTGTGAATAATAAACTGTGTTCGAAACTATGTTATCCAGTAAGTAATACTATTTCACTGTGTGACATATCTAATAAACAAGTTAATATGGAATTAACAAACTAGAAATTTAAACATTCACAGATTAGGTACATGTTTAAAAGCATACAACAATATTATCTAAGTTTATGTATATTTTTTCGTGATTAATTCTGTTATAAAGCCGTCGAAACTTGGGTAAATGAAAAACACTGAAAAGTACATACAGCCTTATGAGAAAGATGCCAGGTAAATCACTAGTTTTACATACAATCAGTATTCAATTCTTTCATCGTAATGATATCAGGACTACGAGATATTACATTCTACAGGCTTCACTGATGCATACTTGACTAATACGACAGGGCTGAACTCACAATCACCTACTATTATTTCATATTCACGTAAAATGTTGACTATTATGCTGAAAAGTTTTAAAACTTTATTTTCAGTTCATTTATATTTAAACAGGTAATCTCTTCACGATATCAAGTAACGTTTCACTTAGTACACTCTTTACAACCCATTACTCTAGCTTAATAAATATTGAGACTTAGAGCACAATAATTTCCGAATTAATGTCTGTGGCAAACATAAGCATTATAGCAGTATGTAGTTCCCAAATATTCATTTGTGGGAGAGCTTCTGAAGTTAGACTGCATAGCAAAAAGGAGATAAGACAGGAACTAACACATTCAAACACAGTATATAGATTTCACATCATCCTAATATACTTCAATATTAGAGAGAGAAACAACTGAAATGAGAATGTATAACATGAAGTCCAATAAATAAAAACACTTTTGACATTTAATAATAAGTCTGATAAATTTTTCCGGAAGTGTATGAAAGACTACAAGAGTAAGAATAAAAATGATAAGACCAGTGAGAGGCAGTTCAAAACATTCCTAGTGTTGTCGCACACAGAAGCAGTCTCTGTAACTTTATGTAGGATTCTTAACAAGGCAGGAATAAAAGTGGCATTCAAACCAAAAAAGCTAATAAACAGACTACTGACAAAAGTCCATTAGCCTAACTAATTTGGTTTATGTAGTACAATTGAATGAATGTGGCGTCAAACTCACAGGTCACAGCAGCCTAGCAGGGTGAATTAGTTTAGCACAGCACAACAGCTCAGAGAAATCAAGACCAGTAGACCCTATCAAAATAAAAAATCTAGAAAAACCCTTAACTATAGAACTACATCCAATCATACACAGCCATATGGGAGAATAGGAAAAAGTAACAGTTGTAAATTCTTGTAGTGACCCATTTTATTATTCATCATCGTAGTATACTTTCATTATGTAATTGGATTTTGATTTGTTTATCACTGTAAAGATTGCGTGTTAACAATTGATACATTGTACTTGCTCAACTTTTGAATTTTGACTACTGCGAGAATACACGTCAGTACTACTTCTCAAGTGCCTTTTGATTTACGTTGTGGATGTCGAGTAATCACAACGTTAGGACACAATAATAAACGCGAAGAAGTACTAGGATATACATGTACGCTAGTTTGGTCAAATAGTGCAACACAACAGTCTAGCAGAACAGAACGACAGGAGATATTGATAATTGAAGCCTTGTTTATCATCCTGTAGGAATGATTCAACATCCGTTCCCAACACCTGCGGAATTCTACTAGTTTACACTGAAGTAAGCGTTGTAGATGTTGTCTAGAAAGGCAATGGAATTTTAGCAGTTAAGCCACCCACCTCAAAGGATACAAACACATCAAAAGCACCTTCTGTGGTACGAACCTTCTCCATTATTTCAAAATTCTACTACTGTTACAACAAATGGGAATGAAGAAAAAGAACGATGTTAGCCAAACCTTAGAGTTATGGTGTTATCATTGTAGGTAACACCATTTAGCATATAAAAATAATACTTTTCTTCGTAATCTTTGTGCAATAAACAGGCTAATATGGAGTTTCCTGTTAATACTATTTGTATTGCCTTTGTTTCATCCGATTATTTCTTCCTTGTTTCAGTTAACCTACTGCCTAATAAAAAATTTGTTGAAGTGTATTCATTATTCAATGTCTATACAGAGTTTAGATAATATGGTGAGCGCCATTCGACTTGTCTAGATTTAACTATACAGTTTCCACTAGGAACTATGAAAATAGTCCTCTCCAGTTATTAATCCTCATTCGGTTCAGTGGTGTTCTGTGTCTTCCAGTATTTAGACGTGGAGAAACGTCATTTTCTAAAAATAAATGTCGTATGAAGTAGTATATCACTACAATAATCTGATTCAGACTTCAGGTTTAATCACGAACTGACTTCAGTCAGAGAACCATTGAAAGTCAAGGAGTACTGGGATCCATGATCCTACTGCCAGGGACCGAACGCACTACCTTGGGGTTAAAAGGCGAGCTCAATAATGATTCAGTCAGTTCGTGAATGAACTTGAAATCGGTCAAATCCCTGCAAACCATCACTTGAAAATTAGTCTAATTCTCACTATTGATTGATTACAAGATGAAATTGCCTGAAGTTCAAGTGGTAAGTCATAACCGCCTGTTGTGATGACAGATACTTTTGGACGACGCTGACTCGTAGTTATGCTATAAACCTCAAAATGGCAGAAGTTAGAACTCACAGGTTACTGGAATTCGTCCCAGTGGCTGGATCGTCAACGAGCTCACTTTGTAACCTAAAGGTCCTAAGTTTGATTCCTGTCAGGGTTACGGGTGCGTACAACTGCAGAGTCCCAAATAAGGACGAATTAGATGTCCATTAATCCCTGATTGTTTTCAGAGAGTCATTTCATCATCAAACTTGAAATAAATGAAATATCTGCAAAAAGCACTTGAAAATAGATAATTTAAAGTTTCTTGTTATGAATTAACCAAGTAAGCACAATTTGCCTCCATGTTAAAATTCGCTTAAATTAATTCTCTACATCAAACTCTCAGCCATTTAAGACTTCACTATTAACACTAACAAATGCTACATGGGTGCAATTAGGAAAATAGGTCTTAGACATAAAGAATATTCTTTTTGCAGCTTACGTCTTTCTTCTTGTTCAAAAGATTCACCTTCATTTCTGTTAAATCTCCTATTGTCTATTAAAGTAAAACAGAAGGAAAAAAATAAAAGAACTAGTCAATTTCCATAAGTTAGTGACGTAATCCGCACTGTCAAAAGCGTTTCTCTTAATTCTTTTGCGTTCCCATCGGAGCATGGAGCTTCAAATTCTAGCCGTGGAGGGTAGTGTGGTCTTTTGAGTAGTTTGGACTAATGGCCTTACACCTAACCTTCTTTCTTTAACAGGCTTACCACGGGCTAAGAGAGTTTCAGGGAGCATTGATGGCTAGGAGTTGGACCCGGGGAGCGTTTGATGGTTGGCGAGCATTCTACCATTGAACTGTCAATTCACAATCAAAAGTGTACTGAACTTTAAATAAATGCACTCCTTTACCTCGCTAAGCTAGTAGTAAGACTGGTAAAGAGGTAAGGTTGGACATGAGGCTAGCAACCCCATCCCGTAAAAACGAACACAACTGCTACCAAAACTTTAAGCCTCTACCTAAAAAAATTTAATTAGATTTTGAAATGGTTAAACCATTGTGGTATTAAGTAAATAAATTATTCTGAGGTTTATATTTCTCATCGATTATGTTCCATGAAGTAAGCAAATGTAGTACTCTATGTATTCCACCGAGATGATTCTGTTAATTAAGTAATTATGAAGTAACATGAAGAATTGTATATCTACACGAGTCAGATAGAGCTGAGTATATATCCATGGAAACAGACCAGTCACTTAGATAAGAACACTAACAGCCAGTGTGTACGAAAGTAACCACCTACAACGCACATGGTTTGGTGTTCCATTCTCCGCCGACACACTTCTGAACCTCACTCAGGCAGAAGTCAGATCAGTCAAGTAGGACGGTTTGGTATGAGGTTAGCAACCCCACCCCTTAAAAATACATCACCTGCCTTAAAGCCCAAGTTTGATGCCCTGTGTTCCACTCGAAAGGCAAACGAATGAAAATGAGAGTATGTTTCAACATCATTTTCCCCTGTAAGATCATCATTCTTTATATTAATAAAATCTTATAGTCATATATTAAGAATGCTTAGTGCAGAAGTAATTCATATCCGCTGTTAGCAACAAACTCCTTCGATTTCTTCCACTTCATTTTATTGCCTTCTTTATTCCCAGCCATTTATGGCATGTCTCTAACGTCAGAATATCTTTTGGTTAATTACCTACTCTTGTGGCTTCTCAGTATATGCTGCTTTTGGGAATTCTTATCAGTATTACATATTATGCTTATGTACTATGGAAAGCAAAGTAACCCTATTGAAAATATGATTAGTAAAGTCTGGTTAACACAAGAATCAACCTTGTGATATCCCTTACTGTTGAATGTTGAAAATACCTTTCTACATGAATAAGATATCCAACTGCATTCAGTTCAATTAGTGGAACACCTTTCAAGAATTGACTATGAAAAAGATACTCACAAATATATTAGATTGAATTTAAGAAAAAATTATGATAAATTATAGAAACATCCCGATAACAAATTTAACAATATACTGGCATAGATTTCTCTTGATAAACTTATAGGTAGCAATGACACGTATGGAAGCAGGGATCTTAGGCGCTTCGAATTAACTATCAATTCTCTTTTTAATTGTGTTTCAATGGTTCACTGGTAAAATGCTCGCCAAGCACACATGTCGTCCTGGGTTCGATTACCAATTGCTTACACACTCTTACACATCTCTTAGCCAATAGTAAAGCCGTTAAAGATGGAAGATTGGGCATGGGGCTAGCAACCCCATTGCTACTGAAACTCCAAGAAATTGAGGCTTGAAGCCCTATGTTCCGTTCGCAAAGCACATAAGTGAAAAATATATATATATACATCCTTGTATATAAGTAATTTTTGGTTAAAATACTCACTCACTTTCATTATTTTTTGGTAAACATTGCACATGGATAAGAAATATGCACAAATAGATGGCAGATATCATGACGATCTAAGAAGTACGGTTATAGTTTGTTTTCAGGGCGAATATTTGACATCATACCTTAGTAGTTTGTGTGTTAGACTGCATAATTCCAAAGGTGAACAATTTCTTCTGTTAATTATTATAATTAATTAATTAATTAGTGAACAAGAGTATTTATATTTCCATAGTTGGGAAATAATTTCCCAAAAACATCACATGTTCTTAGCATAAATCGTTTAATAAAATCGACTTAAAATGTTTTAAAGAGAATTTGTTTATAGTAAAGTAAATTATAATAAAATCACATGAAAGTTTCCCCTTTTCTAAATTCTTGGTTTAATTATAACTTTAGGAGTTTAATGAACTACCTAACTACCGCGTGGTTTAAGCTCATGTTTAATATCCACTTTTTTAATGTGATACTTTATTTTGGCTTAAACACTAATTTTGGCTAGCTCCCACAACCAAAAACTTAAGTTTTAACATATTTCAAAGACATTATTTTCTTTAATATATAATTAGTAAGTGGCAAACAAAATGAGAGATATTCAAGTATTGGTTTGTAGGGATTTGGTTGATTGGTTACAGGATTTCATCATGAGTTGACATTGGTTAGAGAACCACTGGAAAACCTGGGAGTACTGGACAGCTGTTTCGTCCTAGTTTGGGACTCTTCACAGTACACACCCACCATGGTTGGAACCCAGGAGATATTTCTAAAGCCCCGAAAATTATTTTATGATTCCTTTTCTTTTCATTGTCTACTTCTTACCATCGAGAGATACTTCTTAGGCTGAATACTATCGGTCAACTAATAGCAAGTCACCGTATTTCTGTAAGAGTGTTTCATTTAGAACTTAACACCTTCCAAAGAGTAAATAATTAATCCTTAGTAGGCCTGAACAAGCATGGTAGATGCCAACGATAGCCAGCAAGTGATTTATCTCATGTCATCAAATGAGCTAATCCATTCATCACCTGAACCATTCAGCTCTATGCCATAATGGCCACAAACACAGGAAATAAATCCTGTCTTTAACCATATGCCAAGGTATTTAAGTATCCTAATGGAAAACTGGAAGGCAATGGAGAGCTGTTTCTCCCCACCTTGTGATTCTTCAGTAGCAGGCACTCAACGGGGTCCAGTGCCGGGACCTCCCAGTTACAAAGCAAGCTCGCCGACCATTCAGCCACTGGGAATCGATTCAGTGGCCAATTGAATTCTAACTTCTGCCTATCTGCGATATATGTCGCAACCGCCAGTGAACGTCATCCGAAAGTAATTCGTCATTAGTGATCCTTGTATTTCAAAATGCTAGTGTTACTTTAGAGATGTTTTCTGAGTCAGAATTCTCTGGTAACACACTTTTCAATTAAAGTCTTTAATACAAGTTGAAAATCAAATGGATTTTCAAAAAGTGTTAACCGACATAAAGAAAGATGATTTAAAAGAATAGACACGGAACAAAGAGAACTCTTTTCGATAAATTCATCATCAGGTTCTACAATTATATATACATTATAATGAATGAATGAATTAGTCTTATGAACGACATTAATATTTAAATAACATCAAATCAATAATATTGATAAATTACAGCTGAACAGCATCAACATAAAATAAACTGAATGTCAGAAGAATTAGGAAAGGTAATGGTACAAATTCATGAGTTTATAGTCTCTACTGAGGGCCAGGGCAGTAGTAGGGGCTGGACTTGTTTCTTTTGGACACAGAGCGCTGGTTGTTTGAGGCGAATTGCAATAGCCTCTGCTGTTTGGAGCAAGCGGTGCTTCGACGATTTTGGTAGTTTGTTAGGCACCCGGTATATTATGGAGAAGGATTCGTCTACGCTGGCTTTGTGACCGGTTTGTACTAGATGGTCTAATATCGAGCTGTTAATAGTTTTAACTACACCTTTACTTAGCCATAGTGGGATATGTTCTCGAGCACGAAAAATCAAGTTCCCAGAGCAACGGCCAACATAACTCGCTCCACAAGCGCAGTTGAATTGATAAATACAATTTGAAGTGGCCAGTCTAGGTACTTCATCTTTCAGTCGAAGTAGCACCATCGGTCTTGTAGAGAATAAGATGTGTAGTTCGCCAGCATTAAAAGTCTTTTGAACTGCTTTTCTTAATTTCTTTGTAATTAACTCACTTGGTTTATCACCCTTGAATTGTAGTAGTATATAAAGGGGCTTCTTGTTTACAGATAGTGGGTCGTCCTTTTCGGCCTTCTTCGTCATATGTTTCTTGATAAACTTGTCAGGATAACCATTTTCAATTAAAGTATCATATACTATGTTTAATTCATCTTTAATTACTTCTTCAGAGCATATAGCTCTAACTCTGTGACTAAGAGTCTTCACCAAATCAGTAAGCTCTCATTTTATTGCCGATATATGTGTCCAAAAGAAACAAGTCCAGCCCCTACTACTGCCCTGGCCCTCAGTAGAGACTATAAACTCATGAATTTGTACCATTACCTTTCCTAATTCTTCTAGCATTCAGTTTATTTTATGTTGATGCTGTTCAGCTGTAATTTATCAATATTATTGATTTGATGTTATTTAAATATTAATGTCGTTCATAAGACTAATTCATTCATTCATTATAATGTATATATAATTGTAGAACCTGATGATGAATTTATCGAAAAGAGTTCTCTTTGTTCCGTGTCTATTCTTTTGAAAATTTTACTGGGCATTTTTAATCAATTAAAAATGATTTAAATGAGCTTTCTAACTACTTTGATGATGTTATTCTTAAGTGGTTCTTCCACTTTGTACTTTTTTTTGAAACGATGTTAGTATAGCTACTTTGCCAGAAAATATGTCACTGGATTACTATTAATTTTATTTTGATTGCTCTGAAAAAATAAATTCAGATTGTACGCAGAGAAGTGTAATCTTTCTCATATAATTTCTAAAAGCCGATTAGCTCGACTTTTTTTAGTTTTTACAATAACTCAGTCTTTATTTTACGGTTCACTAATCCCTTTGATCTACATACTCTTTTACTTTCACAAAATTGTGAATACAAGTCAACAGATACGTCGTAAGACTTTATAGACTGTGAAAAAGTAGGGTGTTACAGGTTTTACTTAATCACTAGACGAGTATTTCAATTCTTGTAAACAGTTATAAGTAGGATTTTTATTGACTCTTTTTTCTATGCGCCCATCTTTGAACAAACAACAAGAAATAGGTACATAATACCTTATTCACGTATAAGTATGCAAATACAGTCGAATCATATTCAGGTTACCGTTACATGAAAACAATTAGAAAAGAGCCTATTATTCAACTGAATGTGAATCTATTCTCATATACACACTCACCTTCATGATTGAACTAAACACTTCATTACTAATATCATTAGGCTACAATCGTTACTGTTCTTTCACTTCCAAGTATTGGTTTGTAGGAATTTGATTCATTCCAAGCTGCATCATGAACCCATGTCAGTTAGACAACCACCAATGAAAACTGAAGAGTACTGGACGGCTGTTTGTTCATATTCTCGGATTCATCGGTCGTACGCACCCATGTAAACAGAGCCAAACCTAAGAACTTGAGGTTACCAAACAAGCCAGTTGACGAAGTTCACTGGCTAGTGAATTCCAACTTCTTTTACTTGAAAGCTTCTTAGCGGGGGTTAATTTTGTTGTCAGCATATTGAAATATGTTAAATTTTAGTCTTCCTCCTTTACCTACCTGGGAAGCATCGTTTCAACTACAAGCGGAACTGATGAGGATATCAAAGCAAGGATTGAGAAGGCAAGACAAGCTTTCATTACTCTCAAGTCTGTGTGGAGGTCAACAGCACTCAGCATCAAAAATAAGATCCGGATTTTCAACTCCAATGTGAATTCAGTGCAACTATACGGATCAGAGACTTGACGCGCCATAAAGAGCATCTCAAACAAACTACAGACCTTCATTAACAGTTGTCTTCGCTCAATACTCAAGATCAGATGGCCAGAAAAGATCAGCAACAGAGATCTTTGGGAGAGAACCAACCAGGAACCGATTGTGAAACAAATAGGCAGGAAGAAATGGAGATGGATTGGCCATACTCTGAGGAAACCATCAAGTGACATCACTAGACAAGCCGCTCGAGTGGAACCCGAAAGGGAAGCGGCGAGTTGGTCGTCCAAGGGTGACTTGGAGGAGTCATTGAAGAGGAGATGAAAGCATGTGGGCAGACTTGGAGCCAGGTGAAAACTTTAGCAGAGAACCGAACGCAATGGAGACGCACGGCTGAAGCCCTATGTTCCTCTAGGAATTAAAGGAAATAATAATAATATACAATAATAATTTTGAGGCAGGTAAATGATAGCTTTACTTCATATTAATCATTCAGTGTTGAAAGTAAAACCAACTGCATAAACCTTACAATGTCTAACCCTTTCTTAAGAAAAACAACTCACTATGCAATAAAATAATCAAACTATATAATTTGATGGCTAAACTCAATCTGTGTGCTGTTTCGACGACTGAAGGAGTTAGTTATCAGTTTCTTAGATTTATTTGCTAAAATTAAAGCATTCCAAGTGATATAATATTATAAGAGAAGTTGAACTAGTTTCTTTTGTTGCTAGGATATACTGATGTATGCGTAAAACTTGGGCACCGTGGTAGTATGTAATTCCATATTATTTGTTTATTAGATGTATCACACAGTAAAACAGTATTAATTACTGGTTGACGAAAACCTAGCAAAATCTCGATAAATTGACCCTAATAAGATAAGAAATCTAGAACATATCTCAGCTATAGCACTACACGCAACTACACACAATCATACATTAGCTTAGGTTAAGATGAAGGTCCTAAAATCCAATATAACAGAGTGGAGAAAGACATTGATAATGGAAGTTTTATTTTACAAGTCAAATGAAACAGAATACGTGTAATAGGAATATTTCAACTCCTGTCCCGGATATCTGGAAAATTCTGCTTCCTCTACTATGAATAAAAAGGAATAAGGAAAACTATAGAACGAATGTTTCAAAGTTGTGTAGTTATGATTGATAATGATGATGAACTTGCTTACTTGTGGGTTTCTCATTGTTAGTAAATGTAAATGCTTATTTCTTTTCACTCCTATTTAGATATGTCATTTATCATTGATCAAACGTCATGCTTCATCTGTCTGATATCTAACTAAGTGAGCTTAACTCATATAGTACATTTTTGTTTAGTAACAATTTTCTAGTGACTTACGTCATCTTATAACTTATATGCTACAGTATCTTGTTAACACCCTTGATCCAAATATTTTGTGTTTTTTATTCCAGAAACGTCTGT